AAAGGGCTTTCTCTCAGAAAGCCCTTTCCCTATGGATATGCCACTGTGGTCACCCATCACAAATGGGAGCCCTAGTTTACATATTTATTTTTCACAGATGGTGCTGTGCTGTGCGTGTGCTGTGTAACTTATTTAGATTACATGTGTGGGGCAATGGTCAGAGAGGAGATCGTTTATAATGTTTAGGCACCAAACATGCCATGTACTGGCTAAGTAGTGTTTTATTTTAGTTGTCTGGAGCATCTCCCGTCATAGCAGACTGTCTATGCAATGGTTGTTCTGGTTGAATCTGCCAGGATAAAAAATTGGGAGTGTAAAGTTGCAGTGATACGGTAGTAAGCCATTGAGTGGACCTTTCCAAATACAGAACTTATTGGGAGCCATGATTTAGTTTTCTTTTAGAAAACTTTGGAAGACCTTTTGCACAAATCAGCACCATTGGAAGTGTTCACCAAAATCTGCTGAAGCCTGCCGATGGCTTGCTTGCTTGCTTTTCCAAGAGTAGTAGCTCAAAATGTATTGATCGAAAAGCCCAGGAATCTAGCTTTTCAGAAGCTTTAGTAATAAAGGTTTTATTTAGGGGGGTAGCAGTATGTGAACTGCTACTGCTTATTTCATTTGCACTATCTGGCTCCAGGAGTGTCATCTCTATCTTTGTTGCACTGCTTAGTGTTTTATTTACCTAAACAACCTTGCTGCTAGTAGTGTGTTTGGATTCCTGATAAAGATTTTGTTCCTGGGTAGTGACTCTCCAAAAAAAAATTAAGCGAGGATAAGGGGTTCTGCACTGAAGCTTGCAGCTTCCAAATATCTATAATGGCAAATATCTATAAGCCCACCTTATCTCCTTCCTCAACTCCACAACCACTCCTTGTGCACAGGCAGAGAGCACAGGGAGTTATCAGCTCACACGTTTTCTGGAAAAATCAACAGGTATTTTTTGCACTTATCGAACAGATGTAACAAACAAAAACTTTAAATGGTATATTTAGATAGGACGAAAATATAGAAGCATTACTACCCACAATTTTAAATACTTAAGTCAGTTTATAAATTTAAATGTACTGTGATACAAGAGAAGCATATGTGCAGGATTAGGAAGAGGTGACTCACTGTTTGGATGGGGTGGGTCTCTGCTAGTGGAGAATAGCTGATGATGACAACTTGTACTCCCGATCGGCTCATGTGACTAGAGCGCAGGGAAGAGTACAGCTGGCTGGAGGTGGCATCATATAGCCGTGTCTGAGAATGGGCTGAGCACTAATTGTATTGGTGCAGTCGGGTGCCGGCCTGGGTCCTGTCGGCTGTAGCAATAAATAAGCCGCCTGATACCCCTCACCATTTAGCGAGACGGACTGTTCTGCTGACCAGCCCCCTGCTCGCTCCCAAGAACATCCACCACTCACTGTTTGCTGACAGTGGAAGAATTGCCGCAGAGCGGCTTCTTTGCCTCTTAGTTTTCACAGCCGACAGGACCCGGCCTGGCCAGCTGAGTCCTCACGGCACCCGACAGCACCAATACAATTAGTGCTCAGCCCATTCTCAGACATGGCTATGTGATGCCACCTCCAGCCAGCTGTACTCTTCCCTGCGCTCTAGTCACAGGAGCGGATCGTTACTACAAGTCGTCGTCATCATCCTCTATTCTACACTAGCAGGGACTCGCCACGTCCATCAAACAGTGAGTCACCTCTTCCTAATCCTGCACATATGCTTCTCCTGTATCACACTCCAATTAATTTATAAAGTGACTTATTAAGTATTTAAAATTGTGGGTAGTAGCGCTTCTTTATTTTCGTCCCAATGTACAGGGTCCCTCTCCCGGCTTTAGAAGCCCGCACACCCCATACCATCAACTGTTACCATTACAGTAGTGCGCTTACCATCTTTTTTTGTCTTTCAAATGGTATATTTAGTAGGCCAAAAGGGAGCAAACTGGAGTAGAGCATTGTTAAAGTTTACATACGCTTTAAACTGCTAGAAACCGACTGAACCCCCACTTTTGAGTTTTTTTTGTGATCTTTGAGGATTTTTAAGAATGATTTACTTCACCGTACATGCAGCTAGAGAGGTCTGGGATGGCTTATTGCAAAGCTCTTTTACTGCTTGTTAAGAATTTGTAAACACTATAGTGTACCTAAATCCAAAAACAAATGTAATATATTGCAGCTTACAAGTCTTTATATATGGTAGCTGCATTAGTTTTTCTTTAGGTTTTTCCTTTATTTTCACCTGCTGATCCGGCCAGTAACACATCTCCTGTCTTATGGTGGCTACACTCTATGGAGGAGCAACAAAGCCACCCTTGGACAGCAGCATTGTCACACAAGTTGAATGCTTTTGCAGATTTAGATGCACTGGTCTAAAGCATTAAATCTAAACTCCGGCTAACGCTGTTTAAGCAGTTACACTAACCATTTTCCTTTTGGGATAAGAGTTTTACCTAAATGAATAAAATCTGACCATGGTAAGCACCCTTGCCAGTGTTAAATCATTTGTCTCAACCTTCTATCTGCTGCTTGTGCTGAACAGCTTGGTCTGTTAAAGGAAGCTTAAAAAATAAAACTTACTGGTCGAGGGGGGAAAAAAAAGTGGCCACCACATCTAAGTATTGGTATGCTGCAATATACAGTATTACACGTTTCTTTTTGGTTTAGACATGCTTTAATGTCCATAGTCTGGGCACAAGTGCACTTTTAGGCTACACATGTGCTCACGTTTCGATACCCACATGCAGAAGAGTGTCCACTGAGGAGCGATTACTGGTCATACTTAAGGATGTTGTAATCATAATTTGAATGCAACCTATATGTATGTATCCATCTTGTGTTCATAGTGCACTATATTGTACAGTTGAGTGTATATACAGTACCAGGGTTAGGTAATGTTTGGCACTCCAGCTGTGGTAAAACTACAAATTTGCCTCTTGGGAGTCATTTCTGTGGATGTCATAATCTTGCAATGCCTCTTGGGATTGTAGTTCTACAACTGTTGAGTGCCAAGGTTGCCCATCCTTTAATGTACATGTGTTTTTATATACTCAACTGTTCCTATATATTATATGGATATAGGGTAGAATTAACTAAGAGTATTTTAAACTTAAGTGTTCCAGTTGCCCATAGCAACCAGTTGGCTTCTAGCTTGCATTCTCTGGTGAATGGCCACCTTCAGTCTGTTTACATTGATACTGGGGCCTATGGGAATTCAGGTGACTCCTGCATATTTGTGGAGTCTGCAATGAGATGTAGGTTGAATCAAGGATGTCTAAGGGTCCCACCTAGAAATATTTTGCCTGGTACCATGCAGCCAAGGCTGCCATATGTGATTTGTGACAGATGAGACATTTGGCCTTTCAGAGAACCTAATGCGCCCCTACAGTGGGCATGGACAGAAGATCTACAACTGTTGTCTGAGTGGTGCCCGTCACATGGTGAGCTGCGTCTTTGCAGTCTGCACCGTTAAATGGCATATTCTCCTATCCTCAATATAGCTTGATGTGGAGAATGCCATCAGAGTGGTACTAGCTTGCTATTTGTTTTATGAAATGGGAAGGAGGTTTTTCATACCCTGCACCCTGGAACTCTGCTCAAGATGTGCAGTTCATGGGCTTGTGGTCCCCCATTTATACCATGAACATTAGAAATGCCTTTGTGGATTTCCATGTGTCTCTAGAGCAGGGGTAGGCAACCTTGGCTCTCCAGCTGTGCTGAAACTAAAAATCTCATCATGCTTCTGCCTCTGGGAGCCATGCCTGTGGCTTGCAATGTCTTATGGGATTTGTAGTTTCAACACAGCTGGAGAGCCAAGGTTGCCTGCCCTACAGGGGCAAGCCTCTTTGCAGAATGACTATCTAAATATAGATTACATTTGTATCCCAGGTAAAAACGACTCCCTTTTTTTTTTTTAAACCTTTAATTTCTTGTCTTGTATATTTTTTTTAATTTGCCCTCTATGATGCTCTCCAAACTGCAAGGATTGTCATATGGCAACATACTGTGCGTAATTGCTGCCTCCAGGCAGCTTCCAGTAGCTAACCACTGGGTGAGTGTGCAAGTACCTGCATGCACAGTGCCAATGATTGGCTTATGTCGAGCATGCACACAGCGGGGAAGATGCGGGCACTTAATATTTGCAGCTGTAGTCACGGGAACGTCAAGTTGCTTGGTGTTTGGTCCTTCTTATAGCCTTTACATTTTGACTTGCAGGTGTATAATTTTCTTCCTGATCTCAGACAACTCTCTCCCTTTTTTTTTTTTTTTTTCCTGCTCTATGTTCAGTGTTGTGTGCACAATGGTACCAAACAGCAGAGTGACCTCTTTTCTCCATTTGGATAGGCTGACATTGAAGACATATGTGATACTAATTACTGAAAACAATTAGTGTGAAATATCACTATGATCCAGTTATTTAAAATCTTTTCTAGGGGTACTGACAAATCTGTTCAGGCCAGTTTAGAATGTCTTTTTAGAAGAAGCAATAACTTGTCTCTTTTCACACTTTCTTTGCTTTACTCTGTGACATACCAAAGACTTGCAGGCATACATGACACAATTTATTTTTACTTCATGACTTCAAGAGGATTAAAGCATTGTTTCAGTGAGCTGTAAGGGTACCAACAAATCTGTTCATGTGTATCTATAAATAAAACCATGTTCTTACCTAAAATTTTATTTCTATAGGTTAAACCATGTTCCACCAAGTTTACTTTCAGGACAGAGAGGAAAGTGTCGAAACTTGGAGTAATGCTGGTTGGCTGGGGTGGAAATAATGGAACAACCGTTACAGCAGCAGTGTTGGCCAATCAAATGGGTCTTTCATGGATGACCAAATCGGGGAAGAAGGTAAATATTGTTAAGCTCAGACAAAATAAGAAAAGCTAAAATACAGTGATAAGTAAAACTCTTAAAGGAGAACTATGGGGTTAAGGCTTTTCCCCATAGTTCTCCTTAGGGTAACAGGAGGACACAAACTAGCGTCCTCCCGTCACGCTAGGCTCAGTATGCTGCGAGCTGTAGCTCGCGGTATACTGATATGCCGCAGTATACCGCGAGCTGTAGCTCGCGGTATACTGATACGCCGCAGTATACCGCGAGCTGCTGCTCGCGGTATACTGAGACACCGCAGCTGAAGTGGATCCTGAAAATTGACACCTGACAGCTGGCTCTGCCTATCTAGAGGCAGAGCCAGCTGTACCCGCCTACTCCCCCGTCCGTTCCGCCAGTCAGCACTGGCGGATCGGAGGGGGGAATCCAGAGGTGAGCGAACGCCTGTATGTGTTCGCTCACCTCCCGATCTACTGAGCCGACCTGTGACAGTCTCATTGATTCTTGCATAAGCTCAGTTGTAACATATTTACTTGAAACAACGCTCAAGGGTGTTGTGTAAGCTAAGGCCAACCCTTAGTGTGACCCTTCTGACATCTTTACATTTGGCCCCTTATAAACTTTACCAGAGATAAGATTATCTCATTTTACACAGGGCTATTGAGTTTGTTGCAGTGTAATACACCTTTTGTATAGATAACATATCACAGGTTGCTTTTATTGTTTCAGGTTGCCAACTATTATGGTTCCTTGTTTCAATCCTCAACGGTCTGTCTGGGTAGTGGACCTGATGGCGATATCTCTATACCTTTTCGTGATCTCCTTCCCATGGTCCATCCTAATGATATTGTCTTTGATGGTGAGATTTGATTAGGAATCCATGTCTTTAAAGTGAAAATGGGAAGCAGCTTGATCAATTTGTAGCTAACTGCTACTGTAAAATACCCCTTCCACATATACTGTGAGCACATAGAACACAATTCCCTTATTTTTTTTCAGCTTTGCTATCTTAAACCTTTTTTTAATGAAAAAAGAAAAGGAAAAAAAAGTGTTAGGTGCATATGTTTGCAGATATGTGGAAGTCATGTGAACGATCAAGATGCCTGTGCAAGTGAGAATTTCAACACTGAAGCAAGTAGCAATTTAAATATACATTTAATTTGGGTTTTGCTTCATAGCATTTTTTTCTTTTTTTAATTATAACAAATCTGTAATTACATTTTAATGAAGGTGCATTGGCTCCTGTCTAAATCATCCCTGTATGTATACATATGAGATTGGGACCATTGATTGTAAGCTCCTTGAGGGCAAGGACTATGCAAAGTGCTGCATAAAAATGTTAGTGCTATAGAAATAAAATCCTCACCCTGTGCTAGGCAAATGTTCCAGGCAGTTATCGATTTATTTCAGTGCTCACTGCTCCTCCATAGATCTAGAACGATCAGTTCTTTAGTCTGAGGACAGGACTAAAGAACATCACTATATTCCCCATAACATGAGTGCAAGGTGTTCTTTAGTTCACAGAGAACTATAGACAGTGGTAACTGATAACCATCAACAGAGGCATAGAGCACAGGAAGTTGTTGGCTCACTAAATTTCTGTCAGGAACAGGTTTTTTTTTTGCACTTCTACAGATAATAAAATGCTTTAAATCGTGTATTTAACAGAACAAAGGGGAACAAATAAGACATTAATTGCTAGGGTTTAGCGATACTTTACATGAGAACATATCCCTCACCCCAACCATGCTTAATTTATTTTGTTGAACAGTTAAGAAGGACTTACATTAAATGTGTGATGCATATAAGATGGGTTAGATGGTAGTGCTATAATTTTGATTTTCATGTCATTTTCTTAGGTTGGGATATCTCATCACTGAATCTGGCTGAAGCCATGAGACGAGCAGAAGTTCTAGACTGGCAGCTACAAGAGCAACTTAGGCCCTTCATGGAAAAGATGAAGCCCAGACCTTCAGTCTACATTCCCGAGTTCATTGCCGCCAACCAAGAGGACAGGGCTGACCATATCATCCATGGCACTAAAGCAGAACAGGTAGTTCAAATACATATGGTCATTGTACTAAGAAAAAAGTAAATTCACAATTTATATGTAAAACTTATATTCCTGAAATGAAAATTGTGAGTATTTAAAAAAAAAAAAAAATTGACAACAAAGGTAAATACATTATTCAATTGTTCAGAAGTTGCCCCCTGTGTTTTGTAATAATGAATAATTACCATGATTTTAAAACTTTTTTTTTTTTGTTTTTTTTTCTCCACCTTTTTTCTTGTACCGCTAAAATCCATTAAGTATAGGCTTTTCTAGCACAATGAAAAGTAGAGAATTGTAAAAAATGGTTATTTGGTTTTACAAGTTTCTGTGAAGGTTGCACCAAAACACAATTTCAACAGTGCCCCTTCTGTGTCCAGTACTGTGCTTATCAATAATACATAAATATAATATTAAAAAAAAATTTTTTTCTGTAGGTTCAGAAAATTCGTGAAGATATTCAAGATTTCAAAAGAATAAGTGGAGTAGACAAGGTTATTGTGCTGTGGACTGCAAACACAGAACGCTTCTGTGATTTGATCCCAGGGATTAACGACACTGCTGATAATTTGCTAAAAGCTATTGAGGTGCGTACAGCTATGTAGACCGAATCCTTAAAATTGACACCTACATTAAAGGTGTCTGCACTTCAACACTGTTAGGCCAGGTCAAGTGTAAAGTGTATTTCCACTTTTGCAGCAAAATTGGGATAACGCCTACTTTTATATTTGTTGCATGTTCCATTCATATAGCATAACTGTAAAAAAAATTGCTGCTTGCATTTTTAAGTGCTTTTTAATTGCTTAAAGTGACACTAAACTCAGGTTCTCAACCCTTGCAGTGGGGCTATCCCCAACGGTTAGTGCTCATTGTGATCTAGGCAAAACAATAACAAAGTTATACTCCTTGATCCTTGCAGCTGGCTGGCTGTTAGACCAGTCCTTCCAGCCTCTCTTCCCCTCTGTCCAGAAGTCTAAGGTCCTGTGAGTCATCACGTACAATACACTGTGTATAGGACATGAGGACACCGGGGGACATACCATTGCTGGCGCATAGGAGTAGAGAGACTGAATGGATCGACTGAGGATCAGTTAAGTATAAATTTGTTATTTTTGTTGCTAGACCAAAATGAGCACTTACTCCTTGCAATGCAGAGGTAGCCCCACTGCAAGGGTTAAGAATCCAAGTCCACTTTATTGTGTAGCTTTTTGTGTTATCTGTATTTACATTTACTGGCAGTGAAAAATATATATACCTGGCCACAAACGGATCTGTTTGTTGCCAAGTATTTCTATATTTTTCAGGAATCGGGTGTCTGACTGTGAAAGCAGAGTGGCATTTACTGCTCTCACCCACAGCTGGTATAGATCGGGAAATCCTGGTGTATACCGGCTTTTTTTTTTCTCTAAATTTTCAGCAATAGAAATATAAGCTACATGTTTCTATTCCTGAAACAATGGTGCATATTTTCTGGTCCTTGTTGGAACGATCAGAAAACCTTTAGTGACATCTGATCCTGAAATTCTGCAGGATCAGTGTCACTAAGGTTATTATTGGCTGTTCTTCAGTTTGAAGCCTTGTTCACCCCAAATGCAGAGCAGATCCGGTCAGGTTTCTGCACACGCAGTGCATTGGGTTGTGCTGCGTTTTTGATGCGTTCCAGGCCGTTTTTGGTTAAAAAAATAAATTTAAATTTAACATTGGTTTTCAGGCACTTGCATGCGTTTTGCATGCGTTTTTGATGCGTTCCAGAGCAGGTAAAATAGGGCTTGCCGCAGTTTTTTTACCTGCACTGGATCTGCACGCTGCGATGTGAACTGGCGCTCAAAATACCATAGGAATACATTGGACGCAGTTTTGATCCGGTCTGCACCTGCAGTTAACCCCTAACAATGAAAATCTGCAGCTACTCAGCAGATCCTTTTTTCACCCTAAGGGGTTAATTTTTTTAAACCCCCCTCATGACAGTGATGTTCAAAGTATGTTGCTGACACTTAGGGGTCTATTCACTATGCTGCCGAGGGCAGCCGAGTGAATGACCGATCAGAAGTGAAGTGAGCTGAACACTCTTCGGCTATTCACCTCAGGCTGGTACGGCTGATTTCAGCCGTACATCGGCTTGCTTTGTGTGGCTTCGGATCAGCCGAACATGCTTAGCATGTTCGGCTGACCCGAAGTGCATAAGGAGTTCGACTCAGCCGATCCAACATCTGGATCTATATATATATATATATATATAATCTCCCTATCTCCTCCTAAAAAACAATATATAATATGTGTGGGTGCACTTTGGAAGAAAGTATATTACTGACGTGGAAGAATCGCACAGCAAACATGTCAAAAGTGCTTCAGTCATTTACAAACAGAAACTAAAAACAAGTTCAGTCATGAAGGGGCTAAATTGTCCAAAGCCCAGGTAAATATGGTATTTATTAGGGTGACCTTTTTGTTCCATTTTTTTTTTTCCCAGCAGGTGAAAGTGATAAGAGAACACAATATGATCTGCACATCATGTGTGGATATCCTATCATACACACATCTATATAAGTACATGATATTATAAGATACATGCAAAGTAGTAGTTGCAGTAGTTACTTAAAATATGTTTATTGAATGAATTTTGTTCCTTAATATTATTGTATCCCCAGCAGAGCAGAATTCAAAGTGTATCTAAATGCAAGAACAAAAAATGTGCTCTATTGTAGCTTACCAGTCCTTAAATGTGGTGGTTGCATTGGTTTCCTTTTCCTATTCTACCCCTCCGTTTTTGTTTTGTTATAAATATTTGTAGCTGATGATTCTACCAGTAACACACTCCCTGTCCTAGGGTGACAACACTCCCCCACTGTACTATATCTATGGAGGAGCAGAGTAGTCACCCTAGGACAGTGTGTGAGGACTACAGAACAGCTCCTCACTGTCTCAAACAATAGGGAAAGGCATTCTGTAGTCAACAGAGACCTAGGCAGGGCTAATGGCAGTCCTAACTGTAACTGAGAAAAGCACATCATAGGCAGAGAGTACAGGAAGTTATTAGCTCACTGTATGTGGCCTTTTGACTGGGAAATGTTCTATATAGTTTTTGAAGATGTCTAATTTAGAAAACAAATTCCTATTGCTGTGCATCTAACCCATTTAAAGTTTCAACTTGGTCATCTATTGCTGTCCTCTTCCTTACAACCTTAGAAATCGCCTGTTAGGGAAACTTTATAATTCCTCCACTTTGATGTAATTTAAATTTTATGAATGTATTCTATAGGACAAGTATAAACTCCAGTTCCCCTAGAAATGTTAACATTTATGTCCAGGCATTGTGCAAATTAACCCCCCAAACATCCATATTCCCCTCTAGCGCGTGTCTTGGAATGTTCTCCTTTTACCTTGTTTCTGTAGAGAGAAGTTGCTTTTATTGCTCCCTGTGACATCGCTAGGCTTTTGAAATTCTTGCAAGGGCAGCTTCTGGGAGCTCAGATTCTATACACAAGGACATACCTCCAGAGCTACTTCTCCGGAGAGCTAGCGTGTGGGCAGACTTGAGTCAAGGCAGCAGCATTATTTTGGTGGCAAAGATAAAGATATGTGCATGTTGAGTGAGACAGACAGGACTGGCAACATCGGTTGGAATTTCAGTCCGGAAAAAGCACTGCATTGTTGGCTGAAACAAGAGGTTGGGCACGCTAGACTTTTTATAGATCAACAGGTATTTTCTGACATACACTTTAATGGTAATTAAGGGTTGTTTCCTTTTGGGATCTGTGTGAGGGGGAACCGCTTTCTTAATTATTATTATTATTAGGGATGCACCAATACCAATTATTTCGGTGAGTACTCATCCAAAAGCTCTCTATGCCTATCCTGATACCAGAACTTCCGGTATCAGGAAGCCACGCTCCCTCGTTACTTGGTGACGAGGGAGCATGGTTGCAGCTTGCCGGGCGGCGTGTAATGACTCGCTGCCCAACTTCCTTATTTGTCGAATGCTAATCAGGAAGCCAGGCGGCAAGTCTTTACCCGCCCCCCAGCTTCCTGATTGGCCAGAAAGCCAGCTCCATGCTTCTACGTCTCCTGGTGAAGAGGGAGCATGAAGCTGGCTTCCCAGCTAATTGGGAAGCCGGGCAGCAAGTTAATACACACCGCCTGGCTTTCTTAATGGGACTTTTGGTATCGGCGAGTAACGGAAAAAAATATCGGTACTTGATATCAAAGTCAATATCGCTGCATCCCTAATATAGAGGTCTGTATCTTTTATGAAGAATTTCATATTAAGCGAATCATCCCCTTTGAGCTGGTACATGTGGTATATTTGTGTAGTATAGACAGCTGTGTAATATGCAAAGCTAACAGCAATTTGTTGGCTGTATGAGGTAATAAACATCCTGAGTTGCCCTTTAGTCAAAGTTTTATTCGTTTCAAACAGGGGAAAAACTATATAACATACATAGCATATATTCAAAGTGTATACAGGTATACAGGTAAGTTGGTCCGCAGGACCCAGTACAATCAAATGACTCCTTACAGGGGGGATGTCTTCTGAATATATATGAGTTGCCCTTTAGATTGATCACTGCGTAGTGAGTGATGTAAAAAGGGACTATATGAGCTGTTTAGCTCATCCCATTTCCCTTTTGTGGTTTGCAGCTACTGGGTTGGTTCAGAGAGATGAAACCATACCGTGCTTATCTGTCTGTGCTTCCTCTTACAATGATTAGGGTTTATCAGCAATGTAGCACAGGACTTTGAACTTCTTATCCCTTACCAACACATCATTTTCAGCTGTTACACAAGGGTATTGGGTTTAAAGTGGCTGAGAATTTTAGCAATCAAGTATGATCGTGTGTGTGTGTGTGTGTGTGTGTGTGTGTGTGTAAGATTGAAGGTTCAATCATTATCTCCTGAGCTTAACGACTTTGAGCCATTTTGGGGTGATCTCAAACATGCTAGACAACCAAATAATTGATAGGATTTGAAGGCTTTTTACCAAGCAGAATGGGCAGCTTTCCCACGTAAAGGGGTCCATTCTCAACTTTCACAAAAGACTGCAAGCCGTCATTGATTATAAACAGGGCAAAATATAAGAACTCACTGTATGCAAACTAATGAACAGGGCCATTTTTTATCATTTTCCTTTTTTCCCCCCTGTATTACTATGGTTTGTTTTAATTTCTTTAATTTGTGATTTAAATGTAATGTTTTGGAGCAATCACTCTTAATGTTCTCTTAAGAAATGACCCACATCATACCAATTCTGCCAGGGTAATGCAGACTTATGTGTCTAATACGTATACATATATAATTATAATCTATCCAGTTATCTTCTAATGTGTGTGTGTGTGTGTATATATATAGTATG